CACCGGTCGAGGGTATGGGTCGTGTGAACGCTTGCGTAGGTCTGGCCGAAAGACTCCGAGAGCGCGGACACCGTATAGTGTTTGCCGTCGACGCCTCCTATAGGGGGAAGTTAGTGGGCTTTGGGTTTGAGGAGGAGATCATCGAGTTTTCGGTCACCAAAAAGTCTTCAGACATCGAATCAGACCCACAGGAAAGCCAATCGCTGATCGAATCGAGAGTTCAAGTACTGCTTCGGTCGGGAATACTGTCGGCAAAGTCTTCGCGAGAAAAGTTAGAGATTCTGTCCGGCGATGGATTCCTCAGCAGAATTGTGGATAAAGTGATTGCAAACGAACCCATACTTAAGGACATCATTGCCAGAGTGAGGCCCGACCTCTATATACTCGACCATTTGGTGGGTCCGCCGTCACTCATCTTCTCGGACAAGCCCTGGGTTTTTATACTCAGCGCTAATCCCTTATCCGGTATTCACGACACCAGAACTCCGCCTAATTTTTCCGGTATTTAAACATTTCTTGTGTTATAACACTTGTAAATAACTAAAATTTAAAACTTTAATTATATGCCAAATAATTTTTTTGGTTCGTCAACCGATAGGTTACGCGGCGTCGGGCGACCAGTCCTTGTGGCCAGAGTTTAGGGAAAGGGCTGATAACGCCTTCGCTCATCACAACCAATACTATAACCGATGGCTGAAAGCAAACGGCTATCCGACCATCGATAACAACCTCTGTATACCAGAGTCACCGCATCTAAACCTCTATGGCTTTCCCGAAGAACTCGATTACACAGACATTCGGCCGAATCCTAAGAACTGGTTCCGAATGGACTCATTCATGCGATCCGATGACCACCAGGAGCTCAAACTGCCCGATGGTTTTCACCTCAAAGGCCAGAAACTAATATACCTATCGTTGGGTTCGATGGCCTCCGTAGACGTCCAACTCATGAGCCGTTTGGTCGCCATTTTGGCAAAGAGTCCGCACAAATACATTGTCTCGAAGGGAGTTCTCGGCCACCAGTACTCGTTGGCCGACAATATGTGGGGCGAGAAGTGTGTGCCGCAGACCCGAGTGCTGCCGATCGTGGATCTGGTCATAACACACGGCGGAAACAATACTATATACGAAGCGTTCAGTTTTGGCAAACCTATGATAATAATGCCATTATTTGCCGATCAGTTCAATAACGCTCAGAGAGTCCACGAAAAGGGTTTCGGTCTAAGACTCGATCCGTACAACTGTTCCGCTGAAGAACTCCTCAACTCAATCGACAAACTACTGAATGACACGGATTTGAAACACCGGTTATCCGTCGCTTCAAAACGCATACAAAACTCCGATTGTTTTCAAAAGGCGTGTGAATTGATCGAGAATTTAGTGAAATAATGCATTAATAAACTAAAACCATATTTCAATTCAAATATAAAAAACTATTATTATTTTACCCGTTATAATGAATTAATTTTATTTTTTCATATTATTTATAAACTTTGTTATCTTATAAAATATTAATTAAAATTGAGAAGTCAGTAGATTCAGGTATTCTTGGATCAGAACAATATATTTGTTAGCATTTATTGACACAATCTTAACGTGCATTTCATAATAAGAGACAATTCGTGTTCACAATTAATTATTTTAAGGATTGATGAGAATTTCCTATCAGGAAAGTCAAAATCATAATGTGCTAATAATTTGGTCATTCATAATTATAAAAATATTGTTTGAATTTGAATATTGCATTACTAATTAATTTTAACATTATTCGAGTTGTTATGTTATAATTTTCAATTATTGAAAAATTAATGTTCGCTTATTAAAATTATTTTTCCAATGCATTAAATATTTGCATTCACTGAAGTCACTTAACATGTGAATTATTAAAATACTGTAATAAGCAAACATTAATTTTTCAATGTTACTCACAATATGTTATAATATAGCAAATACTGTACTGTATTTCGTTTCTACTGTCACCCCAATGTCTGATTAGTTGTCAAACAGTTTAAAGAGAGTATGTTTTAATGTCCTTCATAATTAGTTTATACAATCAGTTAGTGAAGCCATTTATAAATGATGAATATTTTGTAATTACTAAAAAACATAGAAATGGCCAAAAAGTTAACCATATTGTTTGCGCCGGTAGTGGGTGTGGGACACGTCAACGCCTGCATAGGTTTGGCTGAAGTACTGCTGAGTCGGGGCCACAAAATTGTCTTCGTTATCGAAAATTCATTTGCGGGAAAGTTATCGCCGTTTGGTTTCATCGAAGAGGTGTTCGCTTCAGAGGAAGAAAATATGGGAAAACCCGGAGAAAGTGAAGCCAAGAGTTTACTCGAAACGGGTCTTCTCTCAAACGTTACGTCTTATAAATCGGCGGAAATTATGATGACTTTCCCTGTGTTTGAGATGTTGATCGACAGAATGCGAGCCAATGAACCACAGCTTAAGGCTATTGTCGCCAAACATAATCCCGATGTGTATATCATTGACGACTTCGCCGGTTCTCCGACACTAATCCACTCAAACAAACCCTGGGTTTTCCTGTTTAGCGGAAATCCATTGTTTGTTATACACGACGACAAGACTCCTCCCGGGTCTTCGGGTCAGTTGTTTTAATTGTAAAATTTATGAAATACTCATTTAATAATTTATAAATACATATAACATCAGGTTATCCTTCAAACGGTGATCCAAACAAATGGCAAGAATTCAAAGAATTGTTTAAAAATATATTTAAAAACCAAAGCATGAAATATAATGAATGGATGAAAGAGGAAGGTTTTCCAATAAATACTGAAACAAAGCGATTTCGGACTCGCCTTATCTTAATATCTATGGATATCCCGAAGAATTGGATTATTTAGATCTCAGACCACTTCCAAAGAAGTGGTTAAGAGTCGACGCATTCATGAGAAAGAATGAGAAAGAAGTCTTCAAAATTCCGGATAAATTCTGTGACAGAGATATAGAGAAAAGTAAATTACTTTATCTCTCATTGGGTTCTATGGGTTCAGTAAATGTGGATTTAATGAAGAGATTGGTGTCTATTCTCAGCAAAAGTCAACACAAATTCATTGTCTCGAAGAGAGTTCTCGGAGACACATATGAATTGGCGGACAATATGTGGGGCGAGAACTCAGTTCCGCAGACAAAAGTGTTGCCATTAGTAGATGTGGTCATAACTCACGGCGGGAACAACTCTGTGACCGAATCTTTTAGTTTTGGTAAACCAATGATAATAATGCCATTATTTGCCGATCAATACGATAACGCACAGAGAGTTATGGAAAAGGGATTTGGGATTAGACTTAATCCGCACACCGTTTCAGAGCAGGAATTGCTTAACTCTATTGAAAAGCTATTGAATGATAA